TGTCAGGCGTGAGACCTTTTTGTCGCGATATTGCAAGATATATAAGCTAATTAATAATATCTTGGATAAGGATTTGAAACATAGGTATATCCAAGTTTATATCACATTCATATGTTTGTTTTCTTTGTGTGTGTAACCGGTAAGTCTTGGGCTGACAAAACTAATTTTTAATTTTTTTGTAGAAGTTGGATAATCTTTTGTTATTTTAGATATCTCTAATAACAAAAAGATGGGATTATGACGATTTTGTAGATGGTGGAACTCGTTCCATGTCCTAGACCTACATGACGAATGTTCTTCCAATCGAACAAATTATTAGGTCACTAATTTATCTAATCACATTCATTAGATTTTGTATCTCAATACAAACTATTGGCAATGCGAATAAGTATTTTTCAACTAATTATATTATTGACAGGCCTAATTTTATTATAATTAGTGGAGCGAATCTCATAATCGAATTGCCTGAGGTGTTAGTTTGCAACATTGTTTGTGTAAATTATAGAGCAACATTGTGTTGGTCTTTGTGTTGAAAGGAAATTGCGCGCCTACAAAATTGTATTTCTTAAGTGCAGAAACGAATCGAACTAAATCAAACCAAGAACTATAGTGTTAGTTTTGTTTTCTAACTATGATCGATTTCGATAAAATTATAGCAACAACCTATAGAAAGGATAATGGGTAACATCTTAATCAGTGTATGTGTGATCCTCACGTGAACATTCAAAAATTATGACGGATGTTAAAGAGTGAGATAATAACTTATTAAAAAATTGTACTATACTCAGTCGAACAAAAGAAGATTGTACTATAGTAGTAGTATAATTAAATAAATACTAGTAAATTAATAATATTAAATAACATCAAAAATTTTAAAAAGGAAAAAACATGATTGGCCTATCTTAACGCTGAAAGGTCGACCTCCACACAACACAAAATCCCCCAGCTGTTTAATGCTGTTGGTTCCTTTCTGGGGAGCTTTAACTGTATGTATCTATAAATAATGTATATATTCAGCATCAAATATACAAACGAATCGATTAGTTTATAATGATCCAAGTAAAATTCGAATCTATATTATTAGATCGATGACACTAATATATGGTAGTTACTAGTTAGTTGAGATCGTGAGTATACATATAGTTATATATAATTTTTTTTTTCCTCATATACATATAGTTATATATGCTTAACGTTTTGGAGGTTTAAGTAATGTGGCGTGCATTGTTAGCGTTTATATTTTATAATATATGAGGCACGATTATAGTGGTATACATCATCTTATACGTCACTCTCCCCCATTCTTTCACATTTCAAAATTTTATTCGCTCTTTCTTGCAATAATCATTTCTCGATTTTATCCACAACAACGATCTTATGCTTACGAACACGTGCCCCAACGATAACCATCATCTACTGGAGGCAAGATCAAGTAATTTGTATATATCGACGACAATCGTAGCAGTAGTAAGCAAATGGAAAAAAAAATATCATATAACACGTAAATAAATTCCAGTACTCTCATTGGACTTGCTAGTTTTAAGGAGTCCAAAATTAGAAAATGACGAAGACTTATTTAATTAGTAGGTAACTTTGAGACTTGAGAGAGAGATTTTAAAAATATATATATATATTGGACATGTAGATGTGTTATACGTTTGAGAGGTAGTGGTGATTTACCGAAAAACCCAGATTCGATATATTTGACGACATAACACTCCTAAAACCCTAAACCCCTATTTCTTTTGATAATTCGACAAAGTTAGTTAGGGACCTTTGGGCTTTGGGTGGCTATATCAATTATATAAACATGTATATGTATTTATACAAGGTGGCTATATCAATTATACAAACATATATATATATATACACACCACAATTCGAGTGTATAACTTATACTCACATATTTTTCAATTTTAAACGTATAATATATATGTACACACAAATTTATACACGTAAATACATGTTTGTGTATCCGCTACCGTCAATGAATCATCCTTTTGTTTTGACTTCCCAATATAGAAACACATGTAAAAGTTCAGTAATAACTAATAGTTTACTAGAATGCTGTCTACACTTTGATTATTAAAAGTCAAGTAGCTGAAAGCATAGTCCCCTCAATATTTTTTGCCACTATTTATTATGTTATTATTTATTTGTACATTTGGATCTATTCCAATATACTATAGCTAGCATTTCGTAGTTTTAGTTCAATGGCTGATCGTAATTAGCATATGTAGTCATTTGCCACGTGGTTCGGCTCCATACCAAAAAAATTTATACCGACATGTATAATATATAATACGACACATATTGTCAATGAGAATATCCTTCGACATTTCGTTGATCAATCATTTGATGCTTTATTGGTTAGATAGCCATGATAATATCTCAAAGCAAAAAAAAAGAGGTATATATAACTTATAGAAATCCGAAATTGACAAAACAACATTATATAATTGTTTGATGTTTGGTTTGTATCCATAATCGTTTTTCACTAAGATTGCATATGTAATATGTAATATATCTTATTTTTTGTGTTTTGCTGTATTGCAAGAAAAAATCATATAACTTTGGTATTTCGTCATTTTCGCTAACACTTGTTTGCATGACTTTCATTTTTCGATCGTTACAAAATGTTTTCATTATTTTATAATCAAGAGGAACATACATTTTAATATTTCGAGAAGAACATTAAACTCCTAACATTATTTGTTGTGGTCTCTCCCATTCGAGGAAAAGCCAAATAAAGCGCCGCAAAACTAGTCAATGGCCAGGTCACAAGAGTGAACAAATAAGGTAGAAATTAGAAAACAAAAGAGGAGAGAGAGAAAGAGAGAGAGAGAGAGATACAGTTTTTAACTTTTTATACTTTATGGCCTTCGAAGCATTATTTTGGGATAGGTACTTAACGGCAGTTACTAATTTACTAGATACTGTACTGCGGTTTGATTGATAATTCGTAGAAAATGCTAAAATGATTGTGATTTTTTCGTATACTTTTTTCCAATGATACAAGTGTCCGTTCGTAGTTCCGCTATTCCATTATCAATTTTCACGATGGTAAGAAATAACTTTACATCCATTTATTTTGAGCTAAATTATTTGTTATCCACAATTGGACCATATCATTATGGAAAGGTCCGCCTTCGCCATACTAGGATAGATACAAAATCTACCGTTATGGGAATAATATTAAAGCACACATATTTGCTATGAAGAACCTTACGATACCTACCACATGTAGTCTATATGTAACCTTTAAATATATATAATATATATCAAAATTATTTTTATATAAGAATCACATGTTAGCATATCGTCTTGCGAATTCTTTAGGAAAAAGAGGTTCTGCGAATCACAATGGCGGATTTCGCTGACTAAATAAGGTAAGAGTAAGTAGTAACTGCCAATAGATAAATAGAATTCGTAAGTGCCAACCTTCCACTAAAGGAAAGTAGTTAGGCTTGAATTAGGTGGGGAAAAAGTCACCTTCTACTTTGGGCAAATAGTAAACATCTAATTGTTGGCTTCAACAGATTCCCTCACATATATATATTTGTATATTATAACATTATTGACACTGAAACGTGGACGGCCGAAATCAAATGTTTAAGTATTGTAATGCCAATGCAACCCACACATTTCGTCGTATCCTTTATTTTTTTTGTTTTTTGTTTGAATCAATTATTTCGCCGTATCCAATGAATCTTTTTCTGATTATATGTTTGCATCCAACGAACTTTCACAACTGTTATTTATTTTAAAGATATTATTACCTAAAACTTTTCGAATATCAACATAAAGGATGATACTCGACACTGGAGGCGTGTATAACTATATACTGTAAGACGCTTGTGTATAAATAATAAACACGAATGTAAAACAAACAAAAAAAGAACACACACACAAACGATCGCTTTCCATATTATTTATAAAATATAGATCACGTAATTGTAAGCAAAAAAAAAACTTTACATTAACCAAGTTTTTCTAATAATTTTTTTTATAACCAGGAAACCTCACACCGAAACCCAAATTACACACTAAAATATATTGAATATTTGAATATGTTTGTCATTTCAAGCATCCATAGTAACTATTTATGATCGAAATAGTGGTTAGAAGACCCAATTTTGTTCAAACCTTCATTCTTAACCGTTAAATCTTAAAAGTCTTTCAGTCAGGAACATATTATATTTGTATTATATATCTATTATAATTCTTCGGCTTACTTCATAATATTTTGTAGTTACAATAAACCCTGAAAGAAATCAAAAACTAATTTTCGATTTCATATCTTTATACGTGAAGTAGTCTCTAAAAACCTAAACACAGTGTATATATATACTACGATTAGTATCCAATAAGAAAGTTATTTAGTGGGTTTCTAGTGTATTGGAAGAGAACGTGAACAAACAAACAAATTAAAAATCCACCATATATGAAGATATCTCCAAGTTGGCCAAATATTAATACTTCTTTTTGACATTTTTTTTCTTTCAAAATCATGTTATGACCTCTGTTTTAACACTTTTTGGTGTTTGAGATATTTTCGTGTGTTGACAAAAAAAAGGAGATTTTTTTTTGGTAAACATGTTAAGATTTTTTTTTTAAGGAGATATTTTCGTGTAATTATGAAAGTGAAGTAATGTGCTTTTGATCCTTTAGCATTAACTATGGAATGTTCAGTTTGTGCTTCTTTTGCAGTTTGCACACCATACACAATTAACTATTTCCCTTATCCTATATGTACACACACACACACATACAGCAGACAATACGTAGAAAAGTTTCTTTGGTAATTATAACAAAAAAAAAATTCAAAATTTCAACCCTCAATGTTTCGAAATAAACATGGAGTAGTAATTGAAGGGTTGTTATATATGGGTGTTGTGTTCAAATACGTATAGTCGTTATTAACACTTTGACAACAAATTGTTTAGGTAGATCAATACGATCGATGACTAACGTGTACGTAAAACTTACCAGGTTTTAAATCAATACAAGCAACATAAGGTTACTCTTCCTTAACTAGAGTTGATAAATGATAACAAATGTGAATCATTGCAAACCAATTACTTTGGAAATGTCATAATCTCAAAACACCGAAACACTCTTTCCGATAGTTGACTTTGCTTTCTTTGTTTACGTATTTAATTATTTTTACACCCAACATTCATAGATCACCCTATCAGATTAAGTTTTGCATCTTAAAAACAACATTAGAAATATATATATAAGAAAAAGCAACAAATGCGTTGCTATGTATTATATAAAAATAGTGCCGTTAATTTCGTCACAATTCCACTATTTTTGATTGGTCTCTCCACTGTGTTACCACCCATCACTCCAGATATCCAATGTTTACGGTTCTGCTTACCAAAATAACAATAGGTTTTTTTTTTTTTAATGACAACGACCAGTTACTGATGTCCTTTACATACTTAACTCTTTTTTGACGTGGGTTAACTTCACTCGTTGGTTTCTATTTCGAAATTGACTGAAACTGACTTTGGCGATTCTCTTCCATGCAAATACCAAAATTGACTAACTAAATTTATACGGCGTGTGATTTGGTTATTACATTTTGTCTTGAAGTCCAAAAGTTTACTTGACTCTTGTCTGTCTCTCATTGGTCCATTATTTAAGATTGAAAATATATACTTTTACCAATAAAATCACTTGATGATGGCACAAACAAGAAAACGTTTCTAGAAGTAAAAAAAGGAGAAGACTAAACTAAAATTGAACTCATAGCGTATTGTTAAATCCGATATAATTTTGGTCATGTTTGCTAGAACATATACAGACATATATAAACAAAGTTTTGTGTTTAATATATTTATATATACTTCTCATTATGAACAAATAAGTGAAAGAATAACAGAAACCAGCTGAGCTCGAACGGCTAGGCTACCCTACAGCCCAAAAGCTACAAGCTGGTCCCTCAAAATCTTTCAGATTTCTAGATTGACCCCAAAAAACAGGGAACTAGCAAACCGCACCCCAAGAGGAAAAAAAAATACAGAGAAACAGAGCAAAATCAAAAAAAGAAAACACAAGAGGAGCAGATTCCGGGGACGTATATGCAGAGCATCCCACTGGTAAATCCCTCTCTCTTTTTCTTCTAGAAGCTTCTTCATCATCACGTATATATATATATGTATAGGAATGTGTATATACACATAATCTTCACACCTGCTGCGCCAAGTCATTGGCTCCGATGAATGTGCCGTGAAATCCATACGGAACTCTTGACGGAAGTTTAACCGTTGCTTCAACCTCCAAAGTAACGGCGTTAACTATCTGTAACTCCGATTTCCACGTCTTCTCGTCGTGAACGAAACAGAGGATGTGTCCGTCGTCTTCTCCTCCGTTGTTTTTCTCGTCACCGGGAAGAAACAGAGGTTCTCCACCGTAACGGTTATCCCCATAGAGATGTTTCTTGACTTCTCCGGTGGCGAGATCAACTTTAGCGAACCCGGAGACTTTAGGCCAGGGCTCGGCCAAAGCGAGGTAAGCGAATTTCGTTTTGCGGCCGAGCATGTTTCTGTTGACCATCCCTGCTTCGAGGTTGACTTGTTGTTCTCCGTCGGAGATGATCGGACGGCGAGTGGATTCTCCGGTTTTGAGATTCAGGCGAATTTCAGAGAGGACACTCTTGAGATTCTCGTCGTACTCGTTGAAAATTGAGTCCGGTGGAGTCATACACGACCCGATCACGACGATTTCCTCTGTTTCCGGCTCCTCCCAAGCGTTCCAGAGATGGAAGCAGAAGCAATCCGGAGCATCAATCCACCTGATTTTCGACGAATCCTCGGCGTATTTGTCTAGAATCCCGAATCTCGCAACCTTGTTCTCGTCGTAAACCACCGGAGAGCCACCGCGGATCATCTCCGGCAGCTTGAAAACGACTTGCTGGTCCGGTATCACCACGAATTTCTCCGTGATCGCGAAATCGTGCATCATCGTCGGCTGATCGAGCTGGATCTCGACGTCCGGCGATTTCGTTCCGTCCGGTGAGAATCGGAAGTACTTCAGGTAAGGTTTCGAAACGACGTCGTAGCTTAAAGCGAAAAGCTCGCCGGATTCCGGGTCGACTTTCGGGTGGGCGATCATTGTGGATTCCAATTGCCCGTCAAAATCGTACCGGCCAACGGTTTTCAAATCTCCACCTTGAGTGATCTGCACTTGGTAAGGCAAATCGTCCTCCGACATCGCCAATAAACGGCCGTTGAAATAAACCAAACCGGCGTTAGCTACTCCGGTTCCATGTGCCGGGTCGACTATACCGGCTGCAGCTCTGGCGTAGAATAACATGAGTCGAGCAATTCCGGTGTGACCGTGAAGCTCGCCGATGGCCTTGGGGAAAACCGGTCGGCCCAATTGACGCTCCTGGATAAACCGATTTGTCTGAGTAAACCGGCAAGCGTAGCTAGCTGAACCGTCTTCGAATTTGACGGCGTGAACCATACCGTCTCCGTCGAAGAAGTGGTGACCAGTCACCGGTTCATGAAGCGGATTAGCTCCGTTGCGCACATACACACCTTTGATGGAATCGGGTATTATTCCGACCACCGGAAGATTACGCCGGACGGGCTGTTCATTCACCGGAGCGAAATTTCCGGCGATCTGAACACTAGGATCGGCGGTTTTAGGTAGCGGATGTTGTCGCTCGTGGCTGACGAGGAAATTCTCCGCCGCGTCCAAAGCAGCCGCCGCCGCTCTCTGGAAGAAATTCATCTGTTTAGTGTCGGATTCTTTGGCTCTGGGATTAACAACAATGGCAGGAGAGGTGGAGGATTGCTTGGGGAAATGGAGAGCGGGAGGAGTGTGAAGAGCAGAAGAAACAGTGAGCTTTTTTTGGACACCACTATTCATGGGTATGGAGCAACAATAACTCAAGTCGGAGCTTTGAGAAGACGATAATGGCGGCTGAGTATGATTGCCACCGACCCATCTCCGAGAGACCGACGCCGTTGCCGTGAAAGAAGCCATTTTTTTAAGTTTGCGCAATCAGTATTTGGTGCTTAAAGTGAGAGTTCAATTTTCCGATTTGTTAAGGCTCTGTTTTTTGCTTTTTTTTTGTTTTTGTAGAAGTGGAGAAAGAGAGGAGAAGAGAGAAGGGAGAGTTGGTTTAGGAGCGAGGAAGTGTTAAGGGTTTATATAAACCGGGAGGTGGGTAAGGGAAATGGTGGGTCCCATATGGGTGGCCACGTGTTGAATCAGTGACAGAGAGAGGAATGGAGTGAGTGGGTATGAAGGGAAAAAGGGTACTTTGGGAACAAACAGAAAAAACAGAGTAATATGTTATGGTTCAAAGTTGAGACCTTTCACACTTAGACAAATGCATCCCCTTCAATCTTCCCCTTCAATCTTTAACTCCATTTGTCTACTTTGTGGCTTCTTTTGTTCCTAAGTTTGTTAACAAAAACTATCAATCTTTTGCCAACTTGAAGATACATCGGTTGTGAAAAAACCTCTATTTTAGTAAAAAAAATATCCAACTTACCTGCGATCGGTGGTTCGAAGCATTGTAGGGCATAGTTTGTCTACCTGAAATTCAAGTGCAGACAAATTCTAAAATAGTTTGAATTTCGTCTAACAAATTTGATGAATAGATCATGTTACTCACCTAATTTTTTTAAAAATGTTATATTCTTAATTGAACTCTAACAAAATTGATGAATGGGTAACATAATTTTCAAAATTATTGAAAATGTTATATTCTTAATATAATAAACAAATTAAAATTAAGAATATAGCCTTTAAATAGAAATTTTAGGTGAGTAACATGATTATTTTTTGACTAAAAAGGGACAAAATTATCTTTATCTTTTTTTTTTTATGAAGGTGAATATGCCATTCTACATAGAATACGTAGTATAGAATGTTATTAAGTTCTAAATAGACTGAAGAATACTTAGATTCACTCATCTATTTTTGAAGGTGGATATATGCCATTTTGTGTTTGTTTTTAATCGGGGCATATTTGAATATTATTTTGTTTATACACCGTATATTTTAATCAATTTCTTATGTTTAATTGTTAATTTTTTGTGGTTATTGAGCCTAAAATTACATGAATAAAAGTTATATATGTTTTTAAATACCAACAAAAACGTTTTTATGCAATTATTGGCAATATGATGTTTCATCAACTTGGCTTATGTCGTGGCTCAAGAGCTTCTTGTTTGCAAACTCCAACTTGGCATATCCATCTCCACATGAAAATTTCTTAGACTTCATAATTCCTTCTACATGTGATGTGGTCTAGCCAGTGGTGTTAAAATTTAAAAGACGAGTAATACAAGTATTGAAACATCATTTAGCTTGTCCTATTACTTGACTTGAAGAGTTTTTCTTTCTTGTGTGTGTAGACATTTCTTATTTGCACGGACACAAGCACACAGACATCTCATCTACATTTTGAACTTTTACAAAAAAAAAAAAAAATAGTTTACAAAGATAAGAATACGAAGAACTTATAATAACTATCTAGTAAAGTGACACAAGCAACATAATATAATAGAGCAATCAAGTCGTGTTTCAGAAGAGCGAGATGTGAAAATACATGAAATAATGCACCAAGAACAGAAGAATGCGTTCGAGGATTGACTAGCCACGGTCTAGATGTTGTTGAACACCGTCCGCCTGTCAAAATTTACATAAACCGTGGCATGTAGTCAGAGTTTACAAATAACATTGAGATTCGCATCTTTAGTTGGAGTCTTAAGTCTTGATCCACACTAAAATGTCCAAGAGATCCATGGGAGGTGAAATGTGACTTGACGAGAATAAAGAGGTCCAAACCTCTTTTGCAAATACACATTGAATAAAAAGGTAGTACATACCTACTTTTAGGAGCCGAATCACACAAATGAAACGCGAGATAGGAACATTTGGAGCCAATTTCTGAATCTATCACAATTAGTGAAGCTATCATGTTTAAAAACTAAATTTTGTACCAAAAAACTTTTGGCACGTTTGAAACTTTCTAACTTATCATGTTTGAAACTATTGAAAACCTAAAATGAAAACTGAAAACGCAAATGATACATAACATAACATACTCTTGTGTCTCGATCGCTCTGTATATACCTGAATAACGAAAAAATATCGTCCACTACTTAATTAGTAGCTCCTTCAGATGTCTAATATCATAAAATCCAGTTACCCAAAAAATCATAACTTATAGAAATGAACAAAATCACTAATTGAACACAAGTACTTTACGCACGCAATTTAATCTTCAAAAGTCGGTGTGTTACATCATATGACTTGCTCTCTAAGATATTAACTTTGATAATGTTTTTTTTTTGTTGTTGTTTTCACTTAGATCTTTAGTTGACGAGATCTATAGAGATGTTCGACCACTCCTTTTATATATATTGGGTCAACACTCAAACAGGAATTCTCAAATTTTTGTGTTGTTTTTTTTTTTTATCACATTTATTCTTACATATTAAGTTTAAATCAATTTACCCAAAGACTTGTCGGCAACAAATACTAACTGAATCACTTTTTAAGTTTTTAGAAATCATCGTTACTGTTGGATATATTTCTTTTTATCCCCAATATATGTTATTTTATTTATATGACCATTTAAGATCTAAACTTATGATATACGTGGATGGTACCTTTAAAAGTCTAAACACACTAGCATATTATTTTTCCCTATTATTTTTACTAATCATATTATAAGTCCTCGATCTACGAATTCAGAGTTACTTGTTTAAGTCTATGTTATGTAAAGATTCGAGTCATTAATTAATTATGAGATTGCAAGAACTAGAAGAGTTTCGAATTTGTGGGAATAATATGTCGACACATATATATATTAACGAAACAAACTTCGCATATTATATATTTAACGAAAGAAAACACACTTCTTGACGTAATAATTTTCTAGAACCTCCGCCTAATAGTTTAACAGAATAGAAGCATATAGAAATCGAAAGGAAGAATCCCTACACCAAACCAGCTTTGTATAATCATGATATGGCCTCGTGTAAAAACAAAAAAAATTGCATTATAAAATTAGGTGTATTTGGACATTTTAAAAAGGAAAACAAAAATCTTAGAAAATGGATAAAATAAGAAGAAAATAACACGTAAATAGATGACTAAAAGGACATTTGGGTCTGTATTGTCTCACTAATCTCCGATTGGACCATTGTGTCGTCTATCTTTCTCTCTTTTTTCTTTTCTTTTTTTGTTTGGGTAGAGAAGTGAAATCGAATTGGTTTGGTACGTCGTTAGTGAAGAGGACACGTTTTAGAGATAGCCCGCGTATTTGCCTCATAACCGAGTTCTGCCATATAACACGTGGCATCCTTCTCTTTTTCACTTCTTCTCTAGTTCTCTCCATCACGCTTGCTTTTTTTTTGTTGTCTCTCTTTTTATCTTCGTCTTTTCCATATCATCTCTTCTTCTTTTTTTTTGGGTCTAAATGTGAAGATATCATCTCTTAATCTTTCTCCTTTTAATTTTTTTTTTTACAAACACAATTTCTGTTAATTTTTTCCCACCGTAACACCTAACTAAACTGTTTTGCAAACGCAGTTGTATACTTATCTTTGAATGAACTATCAAACATGTATACGCCTGAATAACTTTAAATTTCATATACATCATTTTGTAGAAAGAAAAAAGTTTTATATATATACATAGTTATCTCATATGTGTGTACGTATAATGGGTACGTATTGCAACCCATCTCGGGTCAACTTTCACTAAATGATCAACAATTTAATATATTTTATTTGAGCCATTTTATTTAGATCAAATTACTAGCATATTAAGTTCCGTGAACTTTATCATGAATAGGTTTCTTTATGTCTCGTATACATAAAAACGTATTCTTAACAAAATTAAAATCATGCGCTCCATTTGATTTACATACGACTAAAACAAGATGATATACTAAAAAGTACTTGAAGCCTTGAAAGGTAATGAATCAGGAAAAGTCACTACTTTATTTATTCTTTAATTAGTTAGTTATTATCTTAAACCGTCAACGTTAGGTATAAACTTTTAATACATCTTCACTTATATATATTCTTTTTCTGGCAACCACTCATATATAATTATGTTCTAAAAACCGATCTAATGGGTAATACACGTTTCTTCGACAACTTGGTTTCGAGATAAGCCCTTTTGGACTTACACGATCTTATGTTCTTAGAACAGTTGTCTACGGTTCCTAAATCTTTGTAAGACTTTCCAACGTAACTATAATTCACCCCCGTACACTTCCAAATTTGATATAACATCGCAACGTTATTAATATAAACTAGCAGATTACAAACTTTTATAAATTTTTATGAATGATCATTACAAGAAAAACATGTCCAAAACATACAGAAAATATTCTAATCAATTATTAGAATATTCATCGTATAGTAGTCGAACATATAAGAAAACAAAAATGAAACATGCATGCATTCGTGCCAAAAAAAAGAAGAAGAAGAAACATGCACGTATTAAGTTTTGCAGCGGCATGATAAAAATTGAGAATGGATATAGTCTTTTTATAGGATCGATGTACAATTAAAGGATTATGAACTAATTACTAAAAGTTTTCAAATTATCATCCAAGTTCTTGCAGATGCGTGACTGTTTTTTTAATTTTTACAATAATTTAAAAGGAAAATTAAAATAAAAATTGATTATTGCTGCTAGATGTAGTGAAGATGAATAAAGTGGTATCGCCAGCCAATACGACATTAAACCTATAAGATAACTATAAAAGAAGTGAAATTCTGAGTTTTTCCGATTTGCATGGGAACAAATTAATAGAATCAGTACTTTGCATACGGGGAACAGTATCATTACCCGAACGTCATCGATGTATATTAATATTTATCTATCGCATACAATATTCGACAAATGATCAATTGATCATTTCCTTATGTTGTTCTTAAGTTTTGATAGATCTTTCTCCACCTTGTCCATCCAAAAAGAGTAGATATACTTGTGTGTTCTATATTTAATCACTGATTAAAAAAAAACTAAATTTGGTTTATTTGATATATTCTGTGAAATGAAACCTATGTATGTTAATTAGGTTTCCTTGACGACCTATGACATAATGCCTAGCTAGGTGGTGATTGGTGAATCCGTACCCGTGTTAAAATATCGCCAGTTAACTAAAAGTTAAATATTAAAGATTTCACGTTGCGAATGCCAACGACATAGGCTTATCTACCAAATCCTACAATATAATGTCGCTAGAAAAAAAAAGAAAAAGTATATTTAAAATTTATAATACAGCCTCATAAAAAGTTATAGCTAAGTGGGATTTTCTGTCTCGTTTGATTAGAGTCATCAATGACTTAATTAAAGTCCATGAAAAGTGGA